TCGTGTTTTCATTTTTTTTTTGTATTAATTTTTTTAAAATGAAAAAAAAAATGTACACACTACCAATCCTAGCCGATCTATATGAAAAACTTCAATTTTTGATTTTATCATATAGGTTAAAGAAATATCGAATAACTTGCCTATAAAAACAGTTCAATTAGGATAAATGTAAATATATATTTTTCCAATGCTTAGCAAATTAAATCGTGTTTTGTGTTTTCATGTAACAGTATCAAACTGAGATCAATAGCTTTGGAAATAACCGAATAACTCACACAGTATAACGCATATATTTTTGAATTCTTGAAATGTATAGCTACTGTCTAAATTGGATTTCTCCATGAAGATTAAAAAAAAAAAACTATTTTGATCAGAAAAATTGTATAGTGCCCAAATAATTATTGTTGATAGAATAATGTACATTATAAGTTTATTATAATTATTGTATAAGTATGCTCATTAAATTTAAAATTATAATACATTTTACGCAAACTATTTTAAGTTAGATTTTGATTATAATATCATAATTGTTTCCCCATTGGTACATAATTCATACGAAGTATGTCTCAAACATTGAGAATCTCTATAGATGAGAATTATAATATATTTTGGTAAAATAATATTATTAAGATCAAATATTATCTCATTCGTTAATAGTGGTTAACGAAATACAAAAATACTATGTGTAATAATAACATGTGAACTGGCCTGCCTTGAGATTTAAAGAAATATTAATTAGTTTTTCATTCGATCACAATAATATTCTTCTATATTCTATAGTACGTATAAATTAATCAGCTATATCGAAACAAATAACCATAGCATAAGACATTGTGGCATAAATACTAATAATAAAGGGAAACTTGAATTTGACTGATGTACACCATGTAGATAACGTGCATTGCGAACAATATTCATGAAAGCAGATCTTGTTTTTTTACATAGAACAATTTGTTCAGTTTTGAAAACTTTGATTAGGTAGTAAAGTTTCTTTCTTATATTATTTGTTAACGTCTTATAATTTTCAAAACAAGATAATTTATATAATATTATTTATATATATATTTCGTAGCAGCTAGAAGATTTAAATTCATTATAGACAAAGTCAGAGATAATAAACTTTCAGTAATAAAAATTGTCAGGTGTCCTCCAGAAAAAAATGAAAAGAAGTATGGTGCTAATAAAACCAAGCAATTGAAATGTACATAAATCGTAGTTAGCGTAGACCGTGTCACGGTAGACGAAAACCGTCCTCCTAATTGGATTAATTATTTATGCATTGCCGAAAACTTTTGTTTAATTTTTTGTTCCTCACTTTTTGAGGCATGAAGCCAACAATTTTACTCCGAAATTACAGACCAAGATTTCAATTTGATTTATGACAACAATACAGGTAGACGCCGCTGCCGTTATCATAGAGTTTATCTTTTGTCCGGAGAAAAATATCAGTTCTGCATATTTTGGTCGCGGTTCAACTTTAAAATTACCTGGGCTTTAGGAAATCAAAAGCAAAAACATTTTCCGGCCCCATCGTCTGTCTTGGCTGGACGGAACAACCCTGAACACCATATTGAAAAAACTGCCAGCGGCTTTAATGATGGCAGTCTTCTATATAAGTAGTGATTTTTGTGCCTAACAAAATTAAAGCTAAAATTGATTGCGAGTTTTGTCCACGTACCTATATATATATATATGTGTTGCTATTTGAGAATAGAAGTTTTACCATAGTTGGTGTCTTACGATATTGGAATATACAGTAAATACATTGTATTAACAAAGGGATATAGCATGAGTTTGAAGATATTTACGCTTTTGTTCACAACATTTTTGCACAGAAAAACATGAAAAACCGTATGCATAGTATGAATTGTTAAATGTTAAAAGGAATTAACGCGTTTTTTCCGAACATACATTTTTTTATATTCTTAGTAATAATAAGTAAAGGTATTATTTAATGTTAAAAAGATACTTTTTCTGTGAATAACAATGATGCAATAGAACGATCAATTTTTTATCTAATGTTAAAAGGAGACTTCTGTGATAGAAATCCCGTTTCTACATAAATTGGTCGAGTCTATTTAATATTATATATCAATAATTGATTATATTTTTGTTTTATTTAATTCACTTTGAGTACAACCGTAGTGGTTTAAATATTTAATTGTAAATATAGCAATTAAAATTAAATTAATTATGTCGTTAAGCGAAACTGCTTAAGTGACCGTGACAGTGGTTACGTTTTAATTAAGAAACGATAAAAAAGAATTTTTAAAGAACCACCTATATCCTTGAATTTTAAACTTGGATAGTTCCAAACAGACGCATGTAAAACACAAAAAGAATTAGGAATAAAAATCAAGAGCAATAGTGAATGTGCAAAGAGAACCGCAGCAGGTGAACTTTTAGTTCACAAAAGACGAAGTCGAAAATGTTATGAGCAAGGCTCATAACTTCTAGCATTTGCATATTTTTTTTTGAGAGGTCCTAGAGGTACCTATGTGAGCTATAAATTTGTTTCTGATAACCAAGAAGCTACATACGAAATTTTATGTTGCATATTTTTGGATTTTTGCATGATTTTTATCATTGATTTTTTTTACATTTTTTCTTAGTAGCCTAAAACATTTTTTCTTAAAAATAACAAGTAATTATGGTCATATTAATTGTTCATATTGGTAATTAATTCGTGTTAATTATTTTTTCTTCTTATATAACTTATATAATATCAGAAGAAACTATATATACCTATACGAGTTTAGGCGACGCGTGACGTAGCGAGAGTGTACGCCCGAAACTTCGTAATCCCATCGATAAGGAAACCATTATAATTTTATATAATTGTAGCTTCTACTGTAGTATTTTATTTTTATAGTTTCTAGGTATTCGGGTATTCCGATATCATTATTTAGATTTTCCGATATCATCATTCTCAGATTATTTACAGATTATTTTTCATTAACATTTTGCAGTCGTTTTCGATTTTTCGTACTGTATGCATGTTAGTTCGTTTCGTGGATTCTACATTTTTTTTTTTTTTTTTTTTTTTATAATAGAAGCTAAAATAATAAAATAATATAATAAATAATAATAATAAAATAATATTTTTGTATACAAACGTTTTTTTTTTTGCATATTTTAGTATTTTTAGTACATATTTAAGCGCTTTTAAAACAACTTTTTTTAGAGCTATAAGTTATGAGGCCTGGTTATGAGGCATTCAAAGGCATTCGAAAACTTTAGATGATTAATCTTGAGTGATTTATATTGATTTCATGACTAATTTATCTTTACCCATAATACCTGTGTATGACATATACTATTACAGTCAAAATACAGTTATCAACTTTGGAATACATGATAATAAATCTGGAAAAATTACCTGTTTCGTTTACTATGATGGCGAGGAGGTGGAAAGGGAGCTAATGATATTTGCTGACATCTTAAATACTATATTATTGGTTTATGGATTCCGATTTCAAACGACTTATATTCGCAGATAATTGTACTGTGCAAAATAAAAACCAAATAATATTTCGATATTTAATGGCACTAGTTGAACTCAAACGGTTTGAATCAGTGAAGATACTATTTCCTTTATGTCTTCTTTTATGCCATGTGTTAGAGATTTCGTCATCATAAAGAAAATATTGAGACTACACGTATTAGTTGAACACATAGATGTTACTAACACAGCAGAACAATCATGACAAATTTACAATGATAACAACAAACTATAACGATGTGTTTGATTTCAGTAATTGGGATTGTAAGTTTTATGAAAAATACGTGTCCAAGTGATTATTTCTACGGAAAAAATGTACCAAAATTTGATAAAATTATATTTAAAATATCAACGTACTATAATTTTTAATGCGAAAACTGAAATCCAAGAGTGCTGATGGCTAAAACCTACATTGGATGCTTAGTTGACGATAAATTCAGACTCATAAATACTAAACAAGATTTAAGTTTACCCATTCAAAGTATAAACATAAGGAGACTAATAATAGCGAGTTAGATGGATGATATCCAGAGAACACTGAAATTTATAACTCACGAACACATTGAATACAGAAAGGAGATTCTCATATATCTAAAAGCATCTAGAGAGGATATTCAAGACGAACATACATATTTACACATATATTTAAACATTGTTATTTATCACTTAAAGTTGTAAAAATTAATTAAATCGGCGTTTATGATTATAAAATACATAGGTTTTAACAATTCGATGCAAAAAGAGAACTTCTGCTAAACTAGCAATTTCAATTTTAACATACCTACTGTAGGTAAACATTAAATGTTTTGTTTCAAAATTCCAAAGTAAGTACTAGAATAGGTGTAATCCACTTCCACTAGTAAAAATATAAATAATACAGTTTTTGGTATACACATACACACACACACTGTGAAATTTTCTTTAAGTAATATCCCCCACTAAGCACCATATATATATATATATATATATATATATATATACAATTTACTACAAAGTGAGTAGACGGAAACGCGAAAGCTTGACGCGTGCAATTTTATCTACCGGAAAAATATGTTTTAGTCCCGAAATTAGATTTTTACGTCTAACTATGTACATGTAGTATTCAGTACGCATCCGCGAAATATTATCTGCACTATGCGTAGAAAAACTTTGTACTACACACGATGAGGCGAAGTCTAAAAGACGAAAACCCATTAGGGTTATTACAATTGATACTGCGTTCACAAACTATATAATACGTATCTATACGTAAAATATAATGTAAACGAATATGCATGCGCAATACGCTTGTAGCACACATTCGCTTGTTATACATAATTGTATATTATTATGCATGCTGTCTAAATACATTCATATATATATATATTCAATAAAATTGACATGGTATTTTTTTCTCTATCCCCCAACACCACCACGTGTGCCTGTTCTCGCGTTTAAGGTTCAATATATTTATTTAATTTTTTTTTTTTTTTATATAAATCATAGTTAACTAACTCACCTGATTTTTTTTTCGAGAAGCAGCACGAATGAGAGTATGCAAACTGAAAAGTACCAGCCAACAACGACCCCAGATTGGATATGCACAGGAGCATTAATGGTACGCCGAATAACGCATATACCATAGTCACGATTTTGCCTTCTGGTGTTTTCGGTGCCAAATTACCGTATCCTGCGAGGAAAAAAAATACTAATAATAAAAGTAATAAAAAAATCGATTATATAAGCATCAAAAATAACAATTTTATAGAATAAACGATATTATACGAATAATTTGAAAAAATAAATAAAATCTTGCACGAATATACGGTATATAAATATATATAACAACATAAATTTCATTATACTATAATTTATTGAATGGATAAAATATGTTGTAATATGTATGTATATAATATGTAAAAACAAAATAACTCTTATTTTTTTGGGCTAAATACTAATAGAGCACTAACTTAAAATTTTTTTTAATAGAAAATTATACATTCTCAGCTTAATTTTCCTTCTCTTTTTTTTTACGGACTTACGACTGTCTGTGGTATTAGTACTTCAGGTAGGTTTGTATTTAATTGAATAAATGCTTTATAAATTTTTTTGATGTAGCAAAATTAGAAAAGTGATGAATTATTCCTAGCAGTAGAAAAACGATGGTTAAGGTGTATTTTGATTTCTACATTATACTGTCATTATACTCGTATTTCATTAGTCAAGATTAAAAACTATTAAGAAGTAATAAAAATCAATATGTTATAAACCTATATCAAAAATATTATTACAAAAGTAAAATTAAATAAATTATTAAATTATAATGAAATAAATGTTTTTATGTTGATAACAGAATAGATTTTCACGTAGTTTTAAAGACTTATTTACAATAATTATTCAGAAAATATTTTTAATTTTTATATGCTGTTTTTTTTTTTTTTTTTTTTATAATAAAGTGAAAACTGTTTCACACAAAAGTATAAATATGGTTTTTACTTGTCAAGTAAGTATACCTATAAGTGGATAAAAATCATATTGCTGTTAATGTAGTTTCAAAAATCGCTTCAACGTTTAAACATTTAAAAGCAATTGAAAATACATTTAATATGAATTATACAGAACTTAGGTTTTTTATTATAGTAAACTTGGATGATATTTTTAATGTTTATTATATTTTCTTCTTTTTATTATATAATTTTTAACAATATTGTAGGGTAGTAAAACAAATTTTATTAAATTTTATATAATATTTTGCCTAAAAATAATTATTAAATAGGTCATTGGTTATATTAACATATAATATTATTATAAAAACCTAATCTAGACGTATTTTTTCACTGACTATCGGAATATTAATATAACGTTTAGTTCGAATTCAAGAAAATGAAAGTATAAAAGTATCAAATCCATCGTTAAAATGTAATTAAGATAAAATATTTACTAATGAGTAACTAACACAAAATGAATATTGAATGAAATACTTTTATTCTCAAAGGATATTTTGATTCTGTTTATTTCTTTTTTAAAAAATACCAATAATAATAACTCTTTTATTTCAAATAATAATCCCAAACAGCTCACAAATATACGCATTTGATTGCTTTAGTTATAGGTAGAGACCGGAATTTTATGCATTTGCATGTCCATACCGAGTGTATACAGGGATTCGAAGTGTGGGCGATTCCGAACCAACTGATTCTATAGATCAAATTTAATTTTGCATATAATGGCATATTTGAAGGATTGGGGCATATTTTTGCATAAGTGCATATAATGTATATATTTTTTAAAATCATAGTAAATAATCAAATTATTTCATGTTTTTATTTTGGAAATTGAAATTTTCAATTACTATTAAAACGGTATAAAATTTTATTTTTTCGAGTTCAATATCGTGTTGATAAACTATTATCTGACAAATAAATTTTAAGGTTAATTCTTAAAGTTGCGTAAAAATTTAGTATTCATTTATTGGCTACACTGCAAATTTGAAAAGTGATACACTGATTTAAATTCACCATGTTTTACCGTTTCATGTATTAGTGTAGTAGCATGACAATATTGACAATTTTGTCATGTGTAGTAACTAGTAGTAGTGTACATTAATTATTTCCAAATGTTAATACACTGGTAAATAATTTAAAAAAAGTGTTCTTAAAGGCACCTCATCGTGTAGAAGTCTACAAAGACGTTTTGCCAAATGTAGTTTTACCACCAGAACCTATACTCACCAGGTGGGGTACTTGGATTGAAGCAGCCACCTTTTGTGCTGATAATTTTGAACAGCTAAAAATAATTATCATTGAAAAATTGAAAGAAAAAATTTGAAGATATGCTTAAGTTAGAGTCTGTTAAAACTGATCTTACATATATTAAAACTAATTTTTTTATACTTGTTAAAAGTATTAAAAAATTAGAGTCATCTAATTTACCTTTGTTTGATGCGATAAAAATTGTTAATGAAACTATTTTAAACATGGAAATGGTGTCTGGAAATAATGGAAAAATTATCAAAGAGAAAGTTTCTGATTTAATACACAAAAATTGTGGTTTTAAAATATTGAAGCAGATATCAGATGTTTTATCCGGGAAAAAAGAAAGTTTTTTACCCCCAAATTTTACACCCACAATGAATACTTGTATGAAATATGCACCTATAACATCTGTGGACGTTGAACGGTCGTTTAGTACTTACAAAATGATAATAACTAAAAAAAGAACCAACATGACCCCACAAAATATGAAAATGTATATTGTAATTAATTGTTATGAAAACAAAAAATAATAGTTTTTTTTATATTTAAATATTTTTTTGATTTAATTTGAGGTTGAAAGGTTCAATACTCCAAATTTTTTATATTTGTTATGTTATAAATTTATTAAGTTTGTAGTTGATAAAGTAATATAAATTTATAATGCATATTTGAGCATATTTTTCATTTATTTGTGCATATTAATGCATATTTTGACCCTTTTGCTTGGTATATTTGCATCATATTTGCCATATTTTTAGTGCATATAATTCCGGTCTCTAGTTATAGGTGTAACTTATAAATGCAATTATAAGATGTGATGTATTTTTGGTTAACAATATGCAATTTGTTTTAAAAGTAGCATTTTTATCGTAGGTACCTTAAAGTCGTTATTTAATTACAACAGCTAATTTTATATTAAAAAAAAAATTCAGTTATACTCAAAAATGCCTTAACTGACTCATCAGTATTCATAATTCGAAGTGTATAGGTACTACATTAATTGTATTTAATGGTTTAAAATCTGATAATGTCAATGAAAATTTTCAAGACTTTAAAATATTTAAACTTTTTATTAATGAAATAATTAGTTAATGGTTTTGAATAAAATCAAAATAAAATGGGAATTATTTATACCTAACATAAAAATAATTATTTATTTACTTATATGTGTACACGAGTATAAATGAAAGTGGAAAAATTGATTTTTACTTACTCCACGTAGCATAAGGTACTGATTTGTGTGAGTGCCCAATTGACAGCAGATCGTTCTTTCACACTTATAAATGAGGGGGGGGGGAGTTAAAATAAAAATAAAAATGGCATGGGTTGAAGATAGGATCTTATTTGGAATTAAATGACGTACATAATTTGATTTGATTGTTTTGGAAATACAATATCTTATAATACTTAATATATACTATAAACATTATATATTGTCTTAAGATAGTCATATTTTTTTAAAAATAATCATATTTAGAGAGTATCCTCTAAACATTTTTCAAGTAGTTAAAAAACTATGTGCCTATCGTATCTTTATTTTCGGATCGTCTTATACTCAATACGTAAACATACAAATTTAACATGTTTACATAATATTTATATTGATGCTTATATTGATGTTTTCGTCAGGGATCAACTTATTTTTGATTATTTTTTTGTTTTTCCGAATATCGAACAAATAAGAGTGTAAATGTTTTAAAAAAAGTTATGCATAGTTAAAGTAATGCTATATCGTGTAACAGTGTTTATGTGATTATATTTTATTACATATTCATTTAAGTATTATATTTACCCTTAATTTGGTTTTCAAGTTGTATTCATATTATAGCGTTCTTATACTTCGTACGAATATATCAAGTGCATAATACGTAATTTTTGTAACTTAATTTTATCGAATACGAAAATGAGACTAAGTTAACGCGTTGTATTCGTTCAATAAGAATCGAGAGTATATATATTATCAAAAAACAACTATTATTATTAAAAATATAATATTGTAATACATAACAAATGTATTGCTGAGCATCAGAAATATCGAGACTTTTTTCAGATAAAGGGCTCTAAAGTAAAACGTATCTTGATATATAGTATGTAGCTATATATATAGCTAGCTATTTATTTACACGGCAAACTATACGTCACGAGAACGAAATGTGCACTTGCCGATTGTCGTAATAACGGTGACCGAATACAACAGCGCCCCAGTTAATGACCACTGCTCCGTGTTTTTGCTATCGTATCCTTGAATGTTTTTCGTAGATATGATCTGCGTCTCGAACTTTTGTAACGGCTCGTACACTAGTTTCGTCCAATTTAGTTCATGTAGTACGTGCATTCTCACTGAAAACATATTTGTATATCATCATTAAAAATACGAATTCGACTCATTTTATTTGTACAAGCACCTATTCCCTTTTGCGCTAGCCCGTTTACTGTTATAAATTATGCTAGAATTGCTTATTTAAAAACACGATTCCGTGGAGATTTTTAATAATAAAAACATACTTATATTGGGGGTCTTTAAAGTTTTTCATAATTTACAAAATCAAATATCTATACGCATATAATAACAATGATACTATTATTGTTAATAATAATAATATTATGTCATCGTTTCAAGCTCGACGGGAAAGAGAAACACTATTAATTATGCGATGACTTAGTACTTTTACTGTCGTTAAAATCAATTTTTAAAGTTTTAAGATTTTTTTTTCATGCTGGAACATGTTTAATATTTTTATAATATCTTTATTTAATACACCATGCTTTTTTAAATTTAATATCGCAGATTGTGATCGTAATGAGTTTTTAGTATAGTAGTATTGTATAGATATTGTTGGAGTTCTGAATTTTCAATGGAAATCTACATTTATTTGCAATTAACTGTAAGGATGTTTTGGATGTTCAAACAACATTAACAATAATTATTTATGAAAAAATAATACTTTGATATTTGTTCGTTCGAAATTATATTTAGTCAACAAAATGTTGTACGAACAAACGTTATAGGCTATCGTTAGCAGGAATATTAATAAAATATTACGATCGGTATAAAATATATTCTGTAGCTTTACTTGGATGAAGAATATTTCGCTGAAACAAGTACAACTCTCGTATACCTATACTAATTTAATGAACTTAATTGTTATATAACTTTTGATTCTTTTTAAAATTAGTTCCACGTAAGTTTATTGCTCTGCATCGAGAGAAAAAAAAACTTAAAATAATCACCTCAAAAACCATATTATCATCACATCATATTTTTTTATTTATTTTTAAGTGCTGCTTATATTTATTTTCTAATTTTTTGTTTGGTTTTAAAATAAAAATAAAAGTATTGAAGAAATACAACTAAGGTTTATAATAATCGGAGCCATTATTATAGAGAAGTGTTGTGGTGAAGATATGCACTAGAGTTAAATAATGTATTTTTGAACATTTAAACAATGTTTGTTCAATTATTAGTGTTTTACGTTGTAAAAGTTTTCAAAAACATGATAATAAAGTCAAAACACACAGAGCACTATCTTTAATTTTATTTTCATAAGCTGTTTCTGTTCGATTTTATAGTATCAGCAATAAGAAATGAAAGTGCTCAAATTAATGGAAATGAGATTCATATAACAATCGATATAACAAGTAATATACCGAATATACTCGTACGTTTAATGGTAATATGGTTAATGTTTTGTTACGGGATAAGGCGAGAGGCCACACGATGTACGACCGACGTGCATATTATTTAGCGCATTGGTGAATCGGTGAGTGATGTGCTCGCGTGAAATTGTGTCCACTACAACGCACTTAACATGTATTATAAACAATTTGTATCTACTTCAGAATTTGAAAATGTGTAATTCGTTGGAATTCACAAACACAGTCATTTACATCAATAAATATCACGTAGAATCGTCTTGCACTAAATACAGAAAAAGGTATTTAATCTCTTAAATATATATTTATAAATCAATATTCAAAAAGTATAAACTCTTCTTTAACAGCGGAGTTCGCGTCCTATATTTATCTAAAAATGTGTATTGTGTTGTACGAAAATCCGATCATGTTAGGTTTTGGCAACACGTGTACAACTGGTGGCTGTTAATAGGGCAATACTCTAGGCACGTCAGAAGTTGCTTCTTAGAGATATCACGGCTGACGAAATTTTTCGGTTCACGACATATTTTCCTGAACTATTTGAAATTGTATATTATTTTCCTTCCCCCAGCCCATTCGTGTTAATTTATCAGAAGAAAACGTTGTTGTATTATATATTTTGCCTTTTTTCCACGTGTTTCAACTCATCGTGTCATATTTGTTTTAACACTTATAGGGACACAGAGAAAATATCGACACCGTTTTCTGAGTCTAAAATTGTCCACGTCACTCGTGATTGTACACGCACATTTAGAGTGAAAATGTGATTTACAAAAATATTTGAAAACTATAATTATATGCTTGGAGGATGGAATAAGCAGTGTAGTCTTTCTATTTTCACTTATAATATGATTATGGAGGGTTATGTTAGTGATTAAATATTGACGATGGTAAGATGCAATTCTAGTGACCAACATAATTACAAGAAAAATAAATGATAAATTTATTCTATTTACAATAATTAAAAGTCAAATCAAAAGAAATAAATAAACGGTTTTCGTACTGGAACAATTTTTTAAATATTTGCAGTATAAAAGTACATTTAAAAACTTTATCAATTAAATGCATTTGATAGTCATACTATTATTAAAATTGTATTTATTATTTTTATATACTATTATTGATTAATGATATTTACTTCAATCGATGAAAACAATACTTTTGTATATTCAGCTTTGATATTTACAATCCTTACTTCACGTGGTGTCCAAGCAATTTGCATAAAGAGTCGATCTTGAGTAAAATTGTTTAAACATCTCTCTTATACGTATAGTATCAACAAAATACCTCGATGACGATTCATTTTATTTATAAATTAAGTTTGAAAACTTGTTGAAGAAAAAATTTAATAATTTCATCAAGTTATAAACTACTGTTCATTATGTACACAAACAATGAAACACCTAACAATAAACTGCTGTCCGGAAAACGTTAAGCTAATATAAATCATGAATGACATAAACAATTTTTCTGTGTTAGCATTTAATAATGTTTTAATGCTTTTAATGCTTTTTTAATGTTTGGACCGTGAATGCTTCTCCCCTTATTACCAGAAAATAATATTGAAAACTAACAAAAATGTAATGTTTCAAAACTGTAAGAGGTTAGAATAACAACGATGAACTTTGTTTTATGAAAAAATAAGTGTTTCCAACACATATTAGTAGTTTTCACGGAATAAATGCGTTAACCGACTATAAAAAAATTAAATAAAAAAATAGTGGTTCGGTATTTATTGAATGGTTTCATAATTGAATTTTTACCTATGCGAAAAAATAAAAATTTTAATATTATAATTCTTGATATGTTGATCCGATGTTTGTAAGTCGATGGATTAATTATTTTTTAATGGGGGGGTTCTTTTTATAGGTTAGTATTATAAATGTGTACACATGTTATGCCTTTTTATTTACTGATATTTTTTCACTGCGAATTACCTATATAAAGAAATATGTAGGTGTATCACCATCGGGACCTTCAGTGTGACATCATGGCGATAAACGCTTAGAAATAAAATAGATACTGTATAAACTTTTTCGCATTTATGATCACGATGTCACAAGTGTAATAAATAAAAAAATATGTTCATCATCTGGTTTTCGACCGACGATGACCAAACGTTATTTACTGAATCCGACTTTGTTTGATTTTTGAAAGTATTTTGCAATTTATTTATAAACTATATTTCATGCGTACTTGCGACGACCGAAATTTACGTTTTATCACTTTGGTAGAGAACAATAATATTTTATCATCTTACTATAGCGGATAAATGAAAGAATGCAACAAAAAAAAAAAAAAAAATGGCATATTTTGATGTCGATTATGCCATATTGGAATACGATTTGTTTATTCATACATTAGAATGTTATACCTATAGTCAACTTCTACTGAGATGTTTATATCCTTGATTCTATACATTGCTTACAGAAAGTTTATGAAGTTTCGTAAAGTATTAAAAAAAAATGGAAAGCATAAAAAGAATAGTTCGTTTTCGATTACAAAGTGATTCATTGAAATGTATATCTTACCGTAAAGTGTAATATATTAAAGCGGAACACTTTAAACACTTAAACGGACGTTTTAAATACATATCATATATATTTATTTCGATTTTGATATTTCAATAACTTATAAGTCATAGTTATAAGAAAAGGAAGTGAGCAAGAGAGAAAGGAAGATAACTATTGTAAGACGAATACTTCGTTATGATATAATGAATTTAAAGGCGGTGAATACCTCTTATATTACTAACTTCGAAAAATAATACTATAGTGATTTAAGGCTTCGTGACATGGTAAATAGTTAATATTTTAGTTAAAAAAAACGTTGTTCGAGCATATTTTGCCTCCAATTTCATTTTAAATAATTTAAGTAGTTGACATCATAAATAATTATACTCATATACAACCACAATAATATATGTACATATCCATACGTGCACTGAATGCTATTATTAATTATACACACTGTAACAGAATTTTATAAGTGATAATATTGTAAACAATTACGGTGTATGAGTAAATTTATTTTTTAAATTATTATTACACGTCTGTTATCACGCTGCGATTTTTCCGTATAATTAATTTAATATATATTTCATTCCTCATACCAATGGAACTTTTGCGTTCTTGTGTTAATATTTGTAAGCGCGTATGAATAATAATTTTTTATTCTTTGTATTTTTGTTCATAAGACATAATATTTTATGTGTCAAATGAATAGAAAATATACTCGTACAGTAATAAATATGTTCGGATAATTACAGAAAGGGTATTACATATTTGTGACGAAATTGGCTTTAAAACATTTTGTTACAGGAAATGTACTTAATTTATATTTATTTGTGTAAACTGTTTCATCGTTAAAATAAATTCCTAAATATATATTTGCAGATTGGTATTTAATAGAGCTCCCTATTTCACGTGTATACGTTTTCACGTGCTCACATGAAAGTAAGGTTTAATTTATAAAACCCGTTGCTTAAAATTTCACGTGTATTTATAATTTTATTCAAGTGAATCTGTGAATTTATATAATCACGTGAATACGTGAATTTACATAATCATGTTTGTCGCCATCGGTCCTCGTATATAATGACTATGGATAAACTAGGCCTGATATTAAGTACAACTGTCTAGGTACCTACGTATAGTAAATAATATTAATAACTTATGTTTTAAATT